AAAAAAAAAAAAAAAAGAACATACTAGAATATCTGGGGTCAGTGCTCTAGACTTTTCTACCTACTAAAAGTATATATGTGTGTGTGTGTGTGTATATATATGTGTGTGTGTATATATATATACATATATATATTTATCAGTAAAGTAATTGAATGACCAAAACCATCCTACAACTGTGCTAATAATTTGGTCTTAAAAGGATATTCAAATATGGGTAATTAAAATTTCTTAAAATTCCAGGCCAGGGGCCAGCCCAGTGGCGTAGTGGTTAAGTGCACGTGTTCCGCTTCAGTGGCCCGGGGTTCGCAGGGTCGGGTCCCAGGCACGCACTGACACACTGTTTGTCAAGCCATGCTGTGGCGGCATCCCATATAAAGTAGAGGAAGATGGGCACGGATGTTAGCCCAGGGCCGATCTTCCTCAGCAAAGAAAAAAGAGGAGGATTGGCATCGGATGTTAGCTCAGGGTTGATCTTCCTCAAAAAAAAAGAAAACTATCCCAGGCCATATCCAGAAAAAATGGTGTCATTTAGTAAAATTTCTTTAGAATTTCCGTTTACAATGCTCAGAAAAGAAACAAACTATAGATGCAGAGAACTATCTGATAATTATTTTTATTCACCTCTACTCTGCTTCTATTATGACTGCATTAGAAGACCATATAAAGAAATTTAGTAAAGTTACATTTCAGTTCAAGGCCTTTTTAAAACCTTTGCATTCCCAGCATAGAAATAATACTTAGAAATCTCATTCCTAGTGCTTGAGAAACAATGAAGCACGTGCTTTAAAGAATGAAGTCGTATTAGTTTTCACCTGCATTGATGCTCCTTCCACTCTTGCCACGCAGGCGACCTGATCCAGGAAAGTCACTGCCACGGGCACCGCCACAAAAAAGCCTCTACAAAAGGCTTTGAAGTATCTCTTCACCCAGCCTTGTGACTGTGCCATACCTAAAAAACACAAAGAAAACAAGTACGAAAATAGCCTCAAAAAGGTGAAAAAGAAAGACACAAAAACAGCACAAGAAAAATAAGAGTTAAGGAAGAGCAACCTCGTCTCTTAATATATTTCACACTTGTCCCTGTAACCACTGGAATAAATTTGACTTAAAATCAAAGGTAAATACATTAACTCAGGTTAATTCTTTTCAGTAGCTCAAGTCCACTTGATAACTTCAGTGGAAAATTTCTCCCCACAAAGCAAAAGTTAGAAAAAAATAAGCATTCTAAAAGTAAATCCTCTTCTGTTGCTGACTATTACGGTGGAGATGCTCCTTATACTCCTGATATCTGTTCTCTTTCTACAGTAACAGAAGTTTTAATAAGACATGTGGCTGCCCAGCCTCCCTTGCAGCTAAGTGTGACCATGTGACTTCAGTTTAATGAATGGCATATGAGCAGAAATGATACACTTCCACATTGTGCCCTTTAAAGGAATATGCCTTCCCCTTTCAGTACCCCATTTCATGATAACTGTGCTAACGAGGTGGTGGTAGGAGTAGGAGTAGCCATTTCAATCTATGAGATAAAGCTTCAAGTTAAAGATGGCAAAGCAACAAAATAGAAGGGTTCTACGTCCCCAGCACCATGGAGGCACCATAACTGCCCTGCATTGCTTACACTGGAACTGTTAAATGAGAAATAAATCACTTTCTATCATGTTTAAACCACTGCTAAACAGTGGTTTTTGTTATAGTAGCCAAATTGATCCTAACTAATACAAAAATGAAATCTATGCTAGATCAAGAAAAAAAAATCACTGCATGTGAATTTGATACAGAGAACTACCAAGCCTCACCTAGCTCTATAACCACTTGATTAATTTCCAGATTTTCTAGGGATAAGAAGATTCCTTAATTATCTCATACAATGAAAAACAAAACAGTGAGAGATCACGATGTGCTACCATATCAGACCAAATGGAGTCAAACATAGTCCAACAGATGAAGAACTCTCCCGGCTGGGAAAGATAAATGACCAGTTTGATCACTGTCTTACTTAAACAAGCTCTATGTACTACCCAAGACTGGAAGGAGGAGGTGAAATGGGGGAGGGGGGAGAATAGAGGTCTCTTGACCTCTCCTTCCTTAGGGTGTGAGACTAGATCAGAGCAACTGAAAAGTTCCCTGAGGCTTGTTCAGCCCTAAACCCACAGCCCAGTTTGCTTCCAAGATGATCTAACATTTCTTGTCCTCTTGAGAGCAGGTCCAAAAGGGTCCAGAAATGTAATTCAGACCAAGTATATGCCAGAAAGGCATACACTTGGACATTACTTAGGCTTTTCTTTTTTTAAGTTCCCAAAAGTCACCTTACCAATGAGAGCATTGTCATGATAATATTAATATTATAGAGGAAAAGAAGCCAAAAATAGATAAGAACCTAAGAAGAAAAGGAAAAAGATTAAGAAATATATTCAAGAAGAAAAAGAGAGAAAGGGAGGGAGAAAATAAGTAATATAAAAAAGTAAAAAACTATAGCCATATTCTATCCAGATACTCATTTCTGAAGATTTTACCCAGTGAACTTAAACTTGAAATGAGAGACAAGAGGAACATGTGAAGAAAGGTGTTACTATCTACATGACAGAAATCACTATAGTTATGGGACCCAAGACACCAATTCTCATTTTATTTTAAAGGAATTTCTCCTTTTGAAGACACATACAAGAGAGGTCACATGGTAATAAGGAACACATAGTCTTCTGACCCTGACAAAGCAAACGAACTCTCCAGAGTTAGCAAGGTAGGACAATGCCTTTCAAATTTTTTGACTGTGTCCCACATTAAGAAATACATTTTATATAGCAACCAAGTACTCATACACATACACACTTACACATATACACTCACATTGCAGCAAATAAGAATTGAAAAGTTTCACAAAACAATACTAATCCTTACTATATAATAGGCAATAATTTTAGTCTGTTCTATTCCATTGGATGGGACAAGATGGATACAGGGAGACTAGATTATTCCAGTGGTCTAGGGCAAGAGATGATGGTAGGCTGGACTAGGGTGGTGGTAGAAGAGATGAACTAAAATGGGCAGACTTAAATAGTAAATATTTTGGAGGTTAAACTGACAGGATTGGAAATGGATGGGCAGTGGTGGGAGAGAAGAAAAGATAAAGAGAAGGAAGTGTCAAGAGACAGTAGTGACCTATCAAAGCACTATTATTTTGTCATTCCCTTGAGTTACATTCCAAGATACTAAAAACATGCTCAAAATTCAATTCCTCAAACTTTTATTCAGTCCTACTAAGTACAACGCCATAGGCTAGGTGCTAGGGATATAGGAGTGAAAAAGCAGATATAGTCCCTGCTCTCAAGCAGTTAAAATGTACCATGGAAGACTGCCCTAAACAAATATTCTCAATGAAGATGAGCATTAAAAAGAGCCAATGTCAACACATTATTTGACATTGGTCATAAAGGAATCTTTTCAGATGACATGCCTACCCAGACTAGGGAAACTAAAGAAAAAATAAACAAGTGGGACTTTATCAGGTTAAAGAGCTTCTACAAGACAAACGAAACCAGAATCAAGATGAACAGACAACCCACCAGCTGGAAGAAAATATTTGCAAAACATACATCTGACAAGGGGTTGATCTCCATAATATATAAAGAACTCACACAACTGAACAACAAAAAAACAAACAACCCGATCAAAAAATGGGCAGAGGAAATGAACAGACACTTCTCCAAAGAAGATATACAGATGGCCAATAGGCACATGAAAAGATGTTCAACATCACTAATCATCAGGGAAATGCAAATCAAAACAACACTAAGATATCTCACACCCGTTAGAATGGCTATAATCACCAAGACAAAAAACAACAAATGTTGGAGAGGATGTGGAGAAACAGGAACCCTCATACACAGCTGGTGGGAACGCAAACTGGTGCAGGCTCTATGGAAAATGGTATGGAGATTCCTCAAAGAATTAAAAGTAGAAATACCCTATGATCCAGCTATCCCACTACTGGGAATCTATCCAACGAACCAGAAATCAACAATCCAAAGAGGCTTATGCACCCCTATGTTCATTGCAGCATTATTCACCATAGCCAAGAAGTGGAAGCAACATAAGTGTCCCTCGACTGACAATTGGATCAAGAAAATGTGGTATATATATACAATGGAATACTACTCAGCCATAAAAAAAGACAAAATCGTCCCATTTGCAACAACATGGATGGGCCTGGAGGGTATTATGTTAAGTGAAGTAAGCCAGAAAGAGAAAGACAAACACTGTATGATCTCACTCATATGTGGAATATAAACCAACACATGGACAGAGAAAATTGTTTGTGGTTACTAGGGGCAATGGGGGCAGAGGGTGGGCACAAGGGGTGAAGGGAGACATATATATGGTGATGGACAAACAAAAATGTACAACCCAAAATTTCACAATGTTAAAAACTATTAAAACATCAATAAAAAAAAAATGAGAAAGAAAAAAAAAAAAAGAGCCAATGTCCCTGGAGCACGACAACATGGAGCAAGGAAGTCTACCTGTGGTATTATGATTTATAATAAGAAACACGTGTATGGCGATGGACTGTAATTAGTCTTTGGGTGCTGAGCATGATGTAATCTACACAGAAATCAAAACACAATGATGTACACTTGAAATTTATATAATGTTATAAACCAATGTTACCTCAATTAAAAAAAAAGAATCTAGGGGCCGGCCCCGTGGCTTAGTGGTTAAGTGCGCGCGCTCCGCTACTGGCGGCCCGGGTTCGGATCCCGGGCGCACACCGACCCACCGCTTCTCCGGCCATGCTGAGGCAGCATCCCACATACAGCAACTAGAAGGATGTGCAGCTATGACATACAACTATCTACTGGGGCTTTAGGGGAACAAAGGAGGAGGATTGGCAATAGATGTGAGCTCAGAGCCGGTCTTCCTCAGCAAAAAGAGGAGGATTAGCATGGATGTTAGCTCAGGGCTGATCTTCCTCACAAAAAAAAAAAAAAAAAAGAATCTAAAACAAAAACAGAAACACATATTTGGTCTTTGTCCCATTACTGGCACAGAGACCCTAAAACACTTAGAATTTCCTAAGTGATGAGACCTATAAAGGAGTCTTTTGTTATGTTAATGAGATGACTTGGAAAGCCCCTAGGTTACCTAAGGATGGGAGCTGGTAACCAGAAGAACCAACCCTGCGATTAGAGGGTTAGAACATTCAGTACCACCCTCTACCTCTCAGCAGGAGAAAGGGGACGAAAGTTGAATCAATCGCCAATGGCCAATGATTTAATCAATCATGTCTATGTAATGAAGCCTCCATAAAAACCCAAAAGGTCAGGGTTCAGAGAGCTTCTGGGTTGGTGAACACATCAAGATTTGGGAAGAATGGTTCACTGGGAGAGGGCATGGAAGCTCCTCGCCCTTTCCCCATACCATACCCTCTGCATCTCTTCCATCTGGCTGTTCCTGAGTTATGTTCTTTTATAACAAACTGGTAATCTAATAAGTAAAATCTTTCTCTGAGTTCTGTGAGATGCTCTAACAAATTAATCGAACCCAAGGAGGGATCCATGGGAACCTTTGATCTATAGCCAGTCAGTCAGAAGTATAGGTAACAACCTGGACTTCCAATTGGCATCTGAAAGTGAAGGGGGTCTTGAGAGACTGAGCCCTTAAGCTGTGGGATCTGATGCTATCTCCAGGGAGATAGTGTCAGAATTGAGTCGAATTATAGGACACCCAGATGGTGTCAGAGAACTGCTTGGTGGGGGAAGACCCCCACACATCTGCTGTGAAAAGAGTTGGATGGTAGTAGTGTGAGAGTAAAGGAGACCCACAGGAGGAGGACTGAGTCTTTCCTTTATACTGTCCATCATAAAATGATTAGGGAAGGTCTTACAATGGAAATGGCATTTGAGGTGAGACCTGGGCATTTCAGGCAAAAAGAGCAGCATGTGTGAAAGC